ACGGGGACGACAGCAGCATTGAGTACTCGGTGTATCCGCAGACCTATCCTCAGGACACGTACATGGTGGGCGCCTACCGCATGGGCTCGAGCCCGACGGCGTCGAGGCCGTCCATGTACGTCGAGCCTGATCCGGCCTCGGCCTATGCCTACCCTGCCGGCCCTACCTCTGCTGCCGTCGGGCCTGCTGCCTCGACGGCGACAATGGTTCATCGCCCTGCTTCGGGAGCCGACACAAACACCGGCTACGCATACGGCGGCATCGCATCCCTCAGCAACCCGCTCGCCAACAACGAGAGAATGCTGCCCACGCCGTTAGCCCGGCCCCTGACCAGCGCTCCCCAGCAGCACCAACACCAGCACCAGCATCAGCACCAGCATCAGCACCCCTATCGAGCAGAGTCCATCTCCTCCGCCTACAGCAAAACGTCACAGTCCTCCGCGGGCAGCTCTTCCCCCGCTGCGCTCTCCGAGCCAGCAACCGCCTACACCCCCTTCGAGAGTTCCCCCTTATCCTCGTACCCGACGCCCACCGCCTCCAGTGCGCACCTCCACCGCGGCGAGGCCTACACCACGGCCGCGAACGCGTCCCTCGACTCCATCATGGCGCCGTCCGAGGAGCCGCTGCGCATGACGGCGCCCGAGATGACGTACAAGTACCTGGACACGACGAGGCGCTACGCCAGCACGTACACGGGGGCTGCTGCTCTGGGCCGCCACATGACGAGCAGCCACGGGCATTCGCCGTATGGGATGAGCGGCGAGGAGAATGAGCGCAAGTCGGGCATGCGGAGCTGAGGGCTGTTCCCTTTGCTTGTTGCCTCTCTTACTGCTTGGCTGTCTGGGTTGAGCTGGCGTGTATGTATTACTGTGCTTGTCTTTTTGCATCATCTTTGCGCTTCTGTCTGTTTGCACGTCTTTTTGACTGCGGAATCTCTTGCTTATTTGATCTTTTCATTTTTGCTTTTCAATCAGATCTTCTGTGTTCTACCTTGACGTTTTCTTCATCTTCAGCTTCATCTTCGCCATCATCCCTCGTGGAGTTCAAAAAGCACCTTGAGACTGCGATCAACCCAGTGGAAGAAAAAAAGGATGAACAAGCGAGCGGTATAACAACAACAACAAAAAAAAAAAAAAAAA